TGCAGTTGCCGAATGTCGATGAAACAAATGCCGTGGAGGAAACCAACAGAAGAAATCAGTGAAAAAAGTAATGATAGAGCTCTCTGTAAGCTTGTTATCATATCAGCAGTTCACAAAGCAATGCAAAAAGTATTCTAAAGTGCACGAATCAATCAGTGTTTGGCACTTGTTTGAGTGGGCACCCACTTACGACTTAAAGAAAACATTTGAGGCAGCTCTTAATCTCAAGAGAGTGAATATTTACTCAATTTTTGTTGTGCTCTTTGGTTGCTTTTATTGCGATATTGACAAAGAGTCATTTGTAAAATGAGACAAGAATAACAAATAAGTACTAAATGCATCCTGTTGCCACCTTCAATGGTGTACTTCTGAATGTAAAAGGGATGGAAAATTTATCGGGCACGTTCTACGATATTTGTTGAACGGTCGGTCAATTCAACTATCTGCATTGGCGAGTAGAGAAGCAAACGTAAAATGGAAGGATTTACGTCGATATTATCAGCAGTTATCAACTACATGGAGATTAGCATCACATAGAGAGGGAAAGCGCTTTTCGGCGATAAACTATTCATTTGCAAGCGATATCCAAACCGACATTTGTTTAATGCGCTTTGATTTTTCGAGAGTGTCGAGAATGCTATAGTCAAATAATTTGTCAAAGAAGAATTCTTTCGTAATATAGTCTAATTACATTCCGGGAATCATCGCATATTTAAGCATCACTTAAGTACATCTATCCATCAATATAAGATACATAGGATATGTTTACAATTTTTTGTGTTGGAGAACATGTAACACATTTGTNTGAATTGAATCAAGTTTATGCATATCCTTCGTTTTCACATCAATTAATCGGGGAGTGAAAGGATCAATTTGAGTGAGTCTGTGTGATTGCTAGATGGATTTGCAGACAGCTGTTGTGAGCCTTTCGTGAACTGCTTGGACTGCTTTCTTCATCGATTATCACGTCAAAGCAAGAACGAAGATATTTTTATGGCTTTTTTATTCGTACATTCATCTCAAATGTGATTGATATGAATGAAAGACGTTTCGGCTAATCCAAAATATTTCTTCCTAACATATAATCTTATTCATTGCTTCTCTATGAAATGTTTAAGTATATTCGCATTCATTGATCATAAAGCATAACACATTCACTCCTGTTACAGATTGTAATCTTCCATACCTTGTGAATTCTCATTTCCCCGTTAATTTTCATTAGTATAATAGCTCATTGAACGCAGAGTATATTATTGGACAGAAATCGATCGGTCATAAAAGTGAATGTGAACTTTTGGATTTTGTTAGCTCAACGCTGTGAGTCTAGAGCTTAACCATCAATCAATCATTTTCAATTGCTTAGTTTGTTTTGTAATGTAGCACGAAGAATTTTGCGAACTTTTTGGAAGCAATCAATCGAGTTGATCTTGTTGCATTGCATTCAGTTATCAATCAATGTTCATCATACTCGTTACTCCACAAGTGAATTTATGCATTCTCATCAGCACATTGTCGAAGTTTCACTTGTGAATTCGTGAATTGTTAGGATCACAAGCAGTGCACTGAGAATTTCTTCCATGAACCTGACAGGTGTATTGGGGATTTTGTGGAGTTGATTGCGTTTGTTTGCGACAGATTTGCAGTGTGATCCGTTTGTAATCCGTAAAGTAGTTCAACTGAGGTCGTCTTTCATCGCTGATAAAGTTGCATTTCAGTGGGGGAAGCGTTCGAGAGTTGAGGAGGAACGGAAACAACGAGTGCGAACGAGCGAGCGAGGGTAATTGCGGTGTTTGCTGAAAGCACGAAGACGACTTCGAACGAACTCAGCTCCTAGTTAGAATCGCACAAGGAGGCAGATTCACCGCTGAGCTGCTAACTACAATAAATGGCGAGTTCTGGGCTAAGTTGAAATGCAAAGTGTGAAATTGAGAATCACAGATACTATTCATTTTTTTTCTCAACTCATTAATCATGTTTCTGAACTTTTGAAAACAGAAAAGATTCATTCTCCCAATTCTTCTTAATTTTTTAAATTTCACGTTTAATTTCTTCTGAAAAGCGATTCATTTATAAAAACGTAAAAATCGCAAAAACTTCCACAGGCATGTGTTCTGTGCAGTAAATCATTAATAATCATCAGTTTCTCGGATCATCTGTATGGTTCATTAGTGATATTGCAGAGAATACGTAGGCATGTGCGTTCTCTCGAATCAGCGTTTGATATCACTGATAACCTCACCATCACAAATACCGTTCATTNATTTCGGAGACTTTATTGTCCAAATAGCAAAATTGTTGACTAGGTTTGTTGGTTTCAGAGGAGTCGCCAATCATATCGTACATAGTCTTGTGAATGTGCGGAACGCAGTAGAAACGAATCAGACAATCGCCACCGATATTCATCGCGTACAATTTACTTGAGCTCGAGGTCATCAATTGAACGAGTTTAAGAAATTGCGGGATGACAGACAAAGAGGAAACAGGTGGCGGGGAGCAGGACGATATCTCGTTCCTTCGAACGGTATATATTGCTCGTTGTTTTTCTTTTTCCCAGTTTTGTTTATTCCACAAAAACTGGCTTCATCATGTAAAATGTGTGAAATTTCAATATCCAATTAAATTTACCGTAGATCAGTGGTGATTCAAACGCGTAAAAACATTGAAGTGAACTATTGAAAAATGAATCCTCCAAAATTGGGTATAAGAAGATTGATCGCGGCGCTTTCTTATTAATATTTACTTATTATTGATCTTGTTTCACGCGTTTTTATTAATAATAATATTTACTTATTATTAATGTTTACTTTTCTCGCATGCTGATTCATGAAACTTGAGTGAATGTTAGGTGTCATCATCGCATTTATGAACTAACACTTAAGCTTGATAAATTCGTTTGCTCGATACAATGCGACCGAGAAGTTTCAAATGATTGCAGGGTGATATCGTAGCGATGACCTGTTTAGCGTCTTCAAACCGAGAAGGTGTGCTTGGCTCAGAGCGTGTTTGTCTATGCAGTGAAGGCTTCGGAAATCGAATGTGCCTTCTCGAGAATGTTTCTTATCGTGTAAGTCCTGAGATAGATTCCGCTTTTATTCACTATCACAACGAATACTGTGTAGCACATATTTGTGCGTGTGCATAATTATGTCTGTGTGCATAATTGTGTTCAAATTTTGATATTTTGCATTCATTCGTTTTGATCTATTGCATTTTCGATATCGTTTGTCCGTAAGATGACCGATAGTGACGAAGAAAACTGTATTGACGTTATGTTCGTTGATGATGACCATACTGATCCGATCAGTAACAGTCTTGATAATGTCAACGGTAATGCTCGTTTTTTTTAGGATTTACCACCCGATATGGCAATGTGCATGCTTTATATAGACAATGCGCTTTCAATGCGAGCGCTGCAGGAAATGATGAGTTCCGACGGTGAACAGGTAGGTGAACATCAATACTGAATAAATAAATAGATTATTCCTTAACGCATGCACGATAGTAGCACTTGTAGAAATAGCAGTGATTAAACAAGCGAGATAATCTGATAATCGCATTTCAGAAAGGAACTGGAAGTGGCGGTGGGCATAAAACGCTTTTGTATGGACATGCCGTTCAGTTGAAGCATGTTCAGAGCGAAATGGTTAGTGAAGACACGATGAAGTCTTACTACATCACAAATACGTGCATTCTGCACATGGACAGTACGAACGTGAAATTCTGATGCTATAAACGGGATAATTCAGATATAATACGTGACATTTCCGTAGTAGTGAGATAAAAAAGATAAAATCCCAATCAATACCGCAAGAGTTCCACGATATCAGTCTATCACTAAACTGCCAACTGGTCTCCAGCTCTATTCGTTGTCATCGTATTTCAATAGCGACATTTGCAGAAGCAATTTATACCAGCAAGCGATTTGGCTAATTTGAAACAATCAATCAATACCATTTTCGTAGGTAGCAATATACCCAACTGATTATCTCATTTGCTCACCTCCCTCCAAACCCGCAGTCTAGTGGTTGAATTGTACTCGATTTTGTGCATTGAAACGGAGAACGCAATGAAACTTGTCAGCTTTTCTTTTTCAGTATTTAGCGTGTCTTTCCTCGTGCTCTTCGAATGACAAGCTCGCTTTCGATGTCGGTGTACAAGAAACGAACGAAGGTATTCACTGTTGCATTCACCCTTCTGATATCTCACGATCAGTCCTCTTGCTTCTCTTGACTAGCCATTCTCCAAGTGATTTCGATCTCAATCTCATTTAATGGTAGTTTCAGTAAAACTCATTGATTAATATTTGAATTTAGGTGAAGCCTGTTGGTGGACCATTCATCCGGCTTCAAAACAACGATCAGAGGGTGAGAAAGTTCGTGTGGGTGATGACGTTATCCTTGTTTCGGTAGCCACCGAGCGTTATTTGGTTGGTTTCGTTTGCAGATCACTTTGCTTAAAAGATGGCAATCCTCAACCTTGATTGTTTGATATGGTGACTGGTCAGCTGAGTGATACAATGTGGACATGAAAACTGCTCACTATCAGTTCTAGGATGAGACTAATCGAAGTGTGACAAAGGTCACCTTCAATACTGAGTATCATTTTCTATTCGAGAAGTTCAACTTAACAGTTATATCCAGTCTTCATGTCAACTTTCTGTAATGTGTTGCTCTAGTTGGCGATCTTTCTGCTGCTTTTGGTGTCAGCTCATAATGAATTAATTGTTTCAGTGGAATCGGATGAGCAAAGTTTCAGAAGTGATGATTGTTCCCACCTCTTTTACAGCCTTTATCAGAGTTCCCATGAATATTTCGATGACTTCAATATTTTAATCTAACAATGAGTTTGATTTCATATGGTGTAAGTACTTATGCTATTTGTTATAGCACATGCAACACAGTAAAGGATTCATGGTTATCGCATCATTTCATCAAACACTTTGGAATATTACTTCAGTCAGCTCGGGTAGTGTTCGAATCAGGAATATGGGTGCGTCACTTGCATTCGATCAGAGTTTATTTCGGTTTAAGGCATATCTCAATGAGCAGACAGATTCCATGCATTCTGAAACGTTTCAGGATCGTTGTTCGGAAATGATGTTCTACGATTCTTTCATGGTAATGATGAAGTACTAACGATACCCGAAAATTGGAGCGAGCATCCTCAGCACAAGTACGTCAGTTTATGTGCACAGCATATTCGATTATGAGTTCCCTAATGAGAAACTTATTTGTGATAGACTGATTCATCATCAATGTAATGCTTGACGAATGATTAGACAGCTGTTATGAGAATGATGCACGATGAATCGATTTCCGTTGAACATTACTT